GTGTGGCTAGACGCCTAATTGCTTCAAGCCGGGATCGAAACCCGACGGATTTGGCATCAGTTAGAGTTTCTACCCCTAGATTATGGTCGCACAGCAGAGTGGAAGGGAAAATTTAACGTTTTCTATGCGAAATTCGTCAGTGACCCGGAGAGCTCAATTCAATTCGGTTGATATATTTATTCATTTCCGTTCCGTTTTTCACTAGCTTTTTATAAACGTTATTTCTTCCACCTTCTTATCGCTTTTCCCAATTTCTGCCCGCCTTAAATTATGGCATATTTGGTTCCTGCAGAGAAAGCCAAGGATTCGAGCAGATACTACACTCTTATTCGAATTAGAAAAATTTAACAATCCTATGTACAACCGTGCAGGGTAAGATGTGCGGAGAGTGCAATCGGTGAGCCGAGTTCAAATTTTGGCCTAGTCTATTGCGTTCACTTTCACACCAATTCCTTTGGCAAAAGCATAAATCCGTCTCTTCTGCCCATTCCAGCTATGGATTAAACAGGAGAGTAGACTAGGCTCTCTGGCAACCAGTCTTAAGAAAAGTAAAACTTTGAATTACGAACCGTGAAGAAGAACGGGAAATCACACCACTATCCTTCCCAAGAAGACATATCCATTCACAGATAATAAAAAAAATAATAGGTGGAGAGTCATGAACGCCTACGCTCTTAAATGTTTAAGAGTATAGATAATAAATATTTTTTAAGCTACTCATAATACAATATGAGCAGGTAGAGATTCTAAAGGACAGGGCCCTCGTGAGGACCGAATACACTAAGTATTTACTCTGTCTCCCCGCAGAATTGTAATTTATTAAGGTGGGGAGCCAAGCGCGTACACCGAAGCTAGGGCCAATTACACTATACTAACGAATGGTGAAATGAGACTCGCTAACTAACTACTATTTAACTTCAAGAACCCTTCTTGTTATTACAGTCAAGAAAGAAAAGAGTTCTTATCTGTCATGTAGAACCTATATTAGGTGATGAAGACTAACAAAAGAAAAATTAAGAAAGCAAGTAAACAAATAAGCAAGAAAAAGTAAAAAAGAATTCTACTTGAGAAAAAAAAAGCTGTTCAAAGTAATATTATATAGTCTTTTTTTTCATTTCTTTTTTTACTACTAGCAAGAATTTCCCTCTTCTCAGTATGTATTACCAGATACATTTTTCGTCACAACGAACGGAATCTGCTATATATATCTATATATTCATCAAATCCCACTTAAATTTACGTGCTCTCACGAGACAGTTGAAGTGTGGATGATCAAAACTGACAAAATGATATTATCAACAAGCGACAAAGTATGTGTCCAACAATAAAATATCTCCATACGACAAGCAACATTTTAATTTATTGATAGTTTCTAGGCTTAATCATAATCCTTTCCAAAGCAAAGTGGGCAGAGACGTAGGAAGATTTAACTAGCACTGATCTTCCAAGTGCCTAGGGCCGCCCACGATGAAATTTAGCTCTGGAAACCGGGTCTTTTATGTGGGTTCGAACACTGACCAGTTATGTTTAGATACTCAACAAGCATAACGTTGCTTGACAAAGATCAGTAGATAGTTTATTTTAGTAATGTACAATAGCGTCAAATGTTAGAGAAAACTTTTTTGTAATATGAAAGAAATTCTGATTCTACAGATTCGATTGAAATAAAAAAAATATTGCGGTAACAATTCTTAAATATTTGTTCTAAACTTTGGTAAATTTGCATAAAAAAGAACCAAGGGTAAAGAAAGTTACAGAACAAAATCTCTTTGTTACAAAGTGTGAAACGTCCAGAACAAAGTTTTATCACAGTCGATTATGCATTTTAAATTTTTAACTTCCGATCTTTAATAATGGATGCTACTGTATACTTACCAATACTTACTATTTTACCGCACCAAACAACTATGTGACACCTTGTTTTTATACTAAGTATTAAGTAAATAAATTAACATTATAAATGACTAAATATTATACACCATAATGCAGTTCCCCTGTGCCTTTTCTATGAAAACATAAATGAACATTCATCTTTGGTACATAGCGCAGGTTTCCTCATTTTTAAAATGGCTAGGTATGACTTTATGTTCTATGCTAACAGTTATTTTTTTCTCTCTCAATTGTCGTTTATGGAACTCTCTTCCAGCTTCTTGCTTTCCGGTCAACTTTGATCTTCAAAGATTTAAATGCAATGTCAATTGTTGTCATCTTCCTTCTTAAATCCTGTTCTTTTATTGTCCTCATTCCTTATTAATGTTTCATTTTTATCACATTCTTTCACACTCAGTAACCCCTTGCATTCTAGTGGCTTTATTGCCATTGTTGAGGGTGAAATGATTAAAAAAAAATGTTCACTCAACACAATACTCAAGAGACGCTCAAGGTAATGGATTATTATTAAAATAGTTATGTTCAACGAGGTGTGTGATATGAACGTTAGGGGGTGGTAGGAAGTGAAGATTAAGGTAACGATTAATCATGGACTTGAAGATGCTAACATTTGTAGTGTTCAAGAAAACATCCACGCGGGAGTATATTCCACAAAGTAGCAGTTCGTGGGGAAAACATGTCTGAGTGATTCTTTCTCCTTACAATTGGAATACAGAGGTAATGAAGGTGATGCAAACTCCGTGGAAGTGGCTTGGCGTGTCATAATAATAAAGTCTGAACTGGTGAAACTAAAGAGTGGGGCTTATCTGAACATTTGGCGTGGAAATAGCGATAGGCTTGCAACTTTGCGTCTGTGGAGAAAATCTGCAGAGTTTAAAATAAGCAATCTCCCACAAAACTGTGTAAATGATTTTAAAATCATGGTTAGAAAGTGAGACCTGAGCACCTTATTAGTATTGAACTAACTACTGTAGTAATGGCTTGTAAGACTCGCTCGTTAACCATTGAACCACTTTGTAATATTCCCTAAACTTAGCATAATTTGATACTGGGGTAATTAACTGTGATAGTTAAAATGAAATAATTGGTTTGGGCAGAGTTAGTAACTCATAACTATCTCAGTCACCAGGTAAATAAATATTGATTTTACAAGTATATCATGACCGCATTTTTCCTACATCGTTGGCACTAATCTTTCGTGTTGACGATAGATCCAGTCAGAATGAGACATAATAATCGTGAAAAATGTGTGAATCTGTTCTACAAGGATTTTCTTGAAACAGAGGTGCCTTCAAACAGTTGTGAGCGTTTACACACGTTCACTTTGATTCGCAACGAACAGATGTTATTAAAGAGAAAAAAAGAATATATCACGCTCCTCTTGCTGCTGTTGGCTGTCATCAGGAGAAATATTTAGGTGTAGAATTACAAAAAAGAAGTGTCGTTGCATATCATATCGCATTGTCTGTTCACATACAGCGACGTCGAAGTGAACGAATAAGGCTTTCTGGTCGACTTTCTCGTGCATAACAAATGAAAACAATGTTAATGTCTTTGTTGTTTTTGGTATTTACTAAGCATAGTACAACATAATGACAAGTAAATGATGAGGAAGGAATGAGAGCAGGAAGATTGCGTTACGCCGATCTTCCAAATGGTTTAGATGTGTCTACCTATAATTTCAGTATTTGATTTTTTTTTCCTGTCTGAATTTCTGCGAAGAGAAATCAACAAAGGTGATTACTGTTCCTCACCTTTGTTGTTTTTTTCATAGCCTTTCGTTCGTTGTGTTCTCCGAACTTACCTGAAGATTACTCGGATCGATTGACACCCGAAGAAGGCCGGAGAGTACGACGGCTGAAATATTGTGATGATGACAAAGATAAGGCATTACTCCGACTATAAATATTGTTTGTTTGTTTTTTGTCCCAAAACGATCACTGGTGCAAGTGTAAAATACGCATCCACCTTAACCACAGTGCAGCCCACATACCTCTGTCCATCTTTTTACTGCTTAACTATGGAAGATGACTCTAGATTCTAGAACTCTGAAAGTGTGTGTGGGGGGGCACTTGGGTGGGGAAAGTTTTTCGGTGGGGGTGAGGAATTCAAACAGCGTCTTTATTTTCATACTACCCCACTATCGTATACACAACTTAGGAACGAGTTTTAGTATAAGTATGTAACTTCACTAAATTAAATGGAATAACGTTTCATTCATAATAGTGGAGTTCTAATCTATTCTTGCCCTCTTTTCCACTCTCAAGCTGTTGGACCACAAGAGAGGGGTTAACTTCAAAACGAAATCACAGGGTTAATACTAACGTCAATACTAGCAGAACAATGTAATTTGTCTGATCTAATTTTTTTCCTCTACAAAACTTAGAAAAGTGGTGGTGGTGGTGGTTGGGGTAACCGAGGGGGCCAGCCCCAATTTTTTTTTTTGGGGGGGGGATTGGCTCTTCTCGCCCCCTCCCCCGTAGAATCGCTACTGCATATCGTACCAGCTGACTCTTCTGCTATTTATTTCGTAAAACATCAGTATACTAATTGATCAATCCTGCCTTTCTAAAGTTTCGTATCTAAAATTTGTGTGAAATTAGTTTCTAGTAACTTACCGTAGTGAGTTTCGAGTTGACGAACGTGATTGTTTTGTCATTAGCTGCAAGGCTAAAATAATGTGTGTGGCCAAAAGTAATTTGGCGTTCAAGATTATGCATATAACGCGCGAGCGTTTTAGCAATCACGTGGCCTTTGAAAAGAGTTTTCTTAACTTCTAATCAGGAAAAAAAAATGTGGCGGAGGTGTGTGTGTGTGGGGGGGGTCATTAATTTCTTCCTATAAGACTACTTCCCCTAATGTTAGATTTCCTTTCACCTTACGATGTAAATTTTATCGTCCTACTTGAAATAGAAGATATTCATTTTAATGTTTAAGCAAATTTCTCTTCCCAAGAACTAATTTCCGTCGCATTATTGTGTCTAACACACGCCTCTCCATGATCACCGCAAGTTAGAGTTTCCTTCCAACCAGAAGGCGGGCGAACTCCCATAGGCAAAGCTAATTTTAGAAATCTTTTTACAACTTACTTAACGAGTACAGGGCTTACTGCCACATCACGTTGAAACACCAGTTCCGTACGATCACCGAAGTTAAGCAATGTCGATCCTGGTTAATACCTAGATGGGTAACCGCTTAGAAATACTAGGTGCTGTAAGCTCGAGAGTGCGGATGGTTTAATGGATAATGGCTCAGAGTTGTTAATCGGAGAGCTGAGCTTCAATTCCCGTTGGGTTTGTTACATTCATTTACATGCAAATACCCTTGGGAAAGATTCTACTTCTCCGCCCCTCATTTATGGGTTAATTAGTAAGACTTGTATCACTAAGTCAGTATTACTCTCCCCGCACAATAAAACAATTCTTAGAATCTAAAAATATTTTCTGGCTTTAAATAACTTACAAAGGGTTGATAAGCCGTAGAAAACAGATCAATCAATCAATTGGCGTGTACAATATTTTCGAACGACGTTAATGATCATCGTTAACACTTGCCGAATTTATCAATACTACTGTAAGGATGGTTTCAGTTCTTCTTGTGTTTCAAATCTTCTAGTCTTTTAATAATGATGGTCGTCACCATCCCAAATGCTACAGAATACAGTAGTTACTGTCATATTCCAATTTTTTGGTTCATTTGCATTTCTCTAATTTTAAATTTTCTTTCTTTTTTTTTTAGTATTTAATTAATTAATTCATTTTATTCATTTAGCGCATTTTGTGCCGCTGTAATTTCTACTCTCTTCCATCTTGCAATTCTGGTTCATGGTGACATTCAAGGCAAAATAGTGCAATGGCTTGCATACTATTTAATACTCTTTATAAAATACTTCGAGACAGTGGCGGGAAAACTTGTAAAAGGGCTCACTCAAAAAGGACACACTTAATCCCAAAATGTAGTTCATGAACTCAAAGAAAAGTAAAGATTTTAGGCAAATAAAATGTTACATCTATTCAATATTGTTTTATTTATTTATGTTAATGTATGCATAATACTAGATAATTTCAATAATCATACTTATTATAAAACCCAGGTTGTGTGTGTGTGTGTCTGTACGTTTATATATTGGATCGGATTTCCTACATTTTTCAACCGATTTCAACAAAACTTCACAGGACAACGTAAAATTACCTTGCGGTAGTTCTGACAGCGCCAAAAATGGGAAAAACACAATTGTTTTTGCACGAAATCAATTTGAAAACACGATTAAGAGGCATCGCATGAGAATGAAATGGGGACAACTCATATCGAGTTATACTTATTATAAAACCCAGGTTGTTTTTGTGTGTGTGTGTTCGTTTATATATGGGATCGGATTTCCTACATTTTTCAACCGATTTCAACAAAACTTCATTTTTTTTTGGCAGTGTTTCTTATTGTCTTGCACACTTTTTTTTCTTTATTTTTACATTCAGAATGCTTTAAAAATTCCATTTACAAGACAATTGTTTATAATAAAATTCTATTCAATCGGTAGACTCATAACGATTGAAAACAATGTTTTTGTTTGAGTTTGGGTTTGACCAATTCGTAAAAAAAAAAAAAAAAAAACTAATTAAAACAATAATCTTTGTCAATTTTATTTTTCAGTCTTTATGATGGTCGATACTTGATCTATCTCTTACTGTTACATCCCGGGCAACGCCGGGCTCTACTGCTAGTTTTATAATAAAAATGAAAATCTTAATCATATAACAACCAGTCGTAGTAAATTACAAAGCAACAATTTGAAATTGTTTTCAAACTATAATAAATAAAAAAAAATATAGCATCAAAGAAGTCTTATTTAAATCTTCCCTGCATCTACGCAATATTTCTTTTTTAGTTTTTACTTTTTTGGGTTATTTCTAGAGATGGAACATCATTTTTGGACCAATCTGGAAATTTCCCAGTCTCTTGTTGGGTCAGTCCGCCACTGGTTCAATGCATCAAATCTTTGAATTCACTTCCCTACCACCGTTTTTTCCCCTTTATCTCTTCTATATTTTTTCTTACGGTAATTGTTCCGATGAGCTTTCCTCGTTGGTACCTCGATTTAGGAATTTAAGTGTGGTACTAGATTGGCAGAAATTATTTCACTGTTAAAATTACTAGTAACCAATAAGTTCAGTGCTTATAGTTTCTTTTGCACTTCTCTCATTTGGAACACTCTCCCAGCTTCCTGCTTTCCTGTTAATTGCGAACTTGGACATTATCTTGAACTCTGTTCTTTTATTGTCCTCTCCGTTTACTTCACACTCTACAATCCCTTATATCCCAGTGGCTTTTATTGCCTTGCTTGCAGTGAAAATATTTTTAATATATGTTTTAGAAAGATATATAACGATTTTACGAGAAAGTCGAAGAAGTTTGTAGCATATGTTTTTCTGATGTTTCCATCGAAACTTACCAAAGGTAGACGTTGAGACTGTCCAAGAAAGTTCAAATCATGGTATAAACCTCACTAAACACATTTTTTTTTCCAAGATAAGAAAAGATCAATATAATATACTGCTTATTGTGGCAAGAATACTTACATATTCTGGAAGAAATATCAAATCAGATATTAAATGAAAGGAAAACTATAATTCTAAGAATTTCCATACCCTTTTATAAATATATTCTCTCAATATGGTAAGTGTAATAGTAATATTAGCCGTTTCCTTTTAAGGAAACATTCGATATTCCTTAACTGAGCAGCCAGTATTACTGTCGTTTGAAATTTATAAAATCTTTCTCTTAAAATAATTTTTTCTGGAGAATGGTTTTCTCAAGTTCAGTAGGTGCGAATATGATATTCTTTAAATAACATAAAAAATTAGGAAGGAGGAAATCCCCCCATCAATACTGGAAAGAACGATAACAGCTTCTGGACTTTAGAAACCTATTTTCTTAAAAAAAGTGGTTTAAGTGTAAGATTTTATAAAAAAATAAATAAAAAATAAACAAAGAATTGTGATATTTGATTATTTGATCCTATTTGAGAAACTGTTTCGAAAGCATTTTTTTCAACACACCCATATATATATATATATATATATATATATATATATATATATATATATATATATATAAGAGGGATGTTCAAAAGTAATGCCTTCTATTTTATTATATTCGCTCACAATATCCTAGATGGATGTTCGTGGTATGAGAGTAGACGTTGAACATTCCGCCAATAAGCTTTAATTTTTTGCCTTGTTACAGATAACAGATGAGCGGCAATCTGGCAAACTAACATCTGATATGATAGTGCGTACGAAGTAGAGCAGTGTCCCTGAATTACTCCATGCGAAAAACATTTTACCGATTGACATTCATCGATATTTTCTGAACGTTTATGGAGACCGAACAGCGGATGTGAACACAGTCAAAGAGTAATTAGTTTCAGCAGTGGTAACATAGATGTGTATGTCGCCTCAGCTTGTACAGATTTTTTTTTTTACTAGCGTGCCTTTTTTCCATCAGGAAAATGCTCATCCAGTTGTGGTAATGATATGGAACATTAGTGTGTTTGGAGGTGAAAACTTGTCCTATCCAACGTTGTTAATTTTATTGTCTCCCAGTATCTGTCGTAGTTTCCATAGAAATAAGAACGCATCATATATGCTGATCGGATTTCCTATATGTGAGTAAACTTAGATTAGAATCAGTTAACTGATTGCACAAGTAACAAAGAACTTAATCAACACACACTTTTGAGATTTTGCTAGCATTGTACAAAAGATGGCACTGGGAACCTTATATAATATTTCTGAGAAACACAGAAAATATATGAATATCTGTAAATCTTGTTCGAATGTGCGAAATGCTGTGAGTATCTTTGGAATGTTATTCATCTTGTGAAAATTACCTGTCACCTCTCTTTATATATATGCTTATGTCATACAGTGTGGTATAATGACATAATGATGATACCAATATACGATTATACTATAATATGCCGTTTGTAATTTCGGTCGGGTCACACTGTTCGTGTCACTTCGTCTCGTCTAATGTTTTGAACCAAGACAAGATTTGGCAAGAAGATGGTTTCAAAGCTTAAAAAAATTGTTCTTTTCTGCTAGGATTTTTGTTATAAAAGGCGGTCCATAACGTTTTTTCCTTCTCATTGTCTGACAATTGGAAGCAAAAGAGGAAATGGCATGAAAAGATTTTTTAAAAATCTAAGAAGACCAATTATTGATTTACGCCGGTAATCTGTCATCAGGTATATCGGAAAATCGGGACTTATTGAATTGTAAGGAGAAAAATTCAAGGCATCTTTTAACATCTTGGCACAAATAGATACACAAATATTATTAATTACTATTGAGGCAAGACTAGCGAAACTGATAATATGCTTTAATAATGCTTTCATTTATATGAGCAAATTGATTAATATTTTTATTAAATACTCGTGCTGAGAGAATGAAAGATAAGAGTTTATAACAATTTTTGCCTAGTCGTTAAAATTCTATTACATTCACTTCACTGGTGTTCATCGGCCACTGTATGTAATTCGCCTTTATACCTGTTTGCACAAATTCGCTCTTCTGAGAACACTTAACATGTATGTCAAATTGGCGAAACGGACATTTAATAGACGTGATTTAGTCTTTTACAGGGCTTTACTAGTAGTATATACAGCTTATTAACAATGACTCTCTTGACCTCCCTACTAACAACATATGCGCTATCACCCGTTGGTCTTGCATGTGAGAATCGAACTAGCTACATTAGCGCTTGGTTTGAGACGCTAGCTTGTTAACCATCGCTCTACAACAAATGTACATTTTGTATCTCTTCTCTCTCTCTTCCCCTTCTCTTTTTTATATATATATATATATATATATATATATATATATATATATATATATATATATAAGCTCAAATTAGAGCAGGGCTCTTGATTGGGCCTTCATCGCAATAAATAGGGAGAAGTAGATGCGATAAGCAACAATAAACTAGAGAACTCAAAATTGATCACTGTATTTAAGCATTGCACTAACACTTAAGCTTACCCTATAAAAGTTCAAAGACAATTCTCCTGTCGCCACTTAATTTAAAGACAATTTGATGTACGTAGGTCCTTACTTTCCGTACAAACAATTTTTTTTATTTCATGGGTGGCTTTCGCTGGATTTCGCAATAAATTTCGATTATTCTCAAATTTATTTCCAAGTTATAAACATTGTTATTG